GGGTTGAGGGGTGGGGGGGTTGAGGGGTGGGGGGGTTGAGGTTTGGGGGGGGGAGTTGAGGTGGGGGGAGGGAGTTGAGGGGTGGGGGCGGGACGCGACCGAGTTTCAATAAACACGTAGATAGATACGCGCTGCCGAAAAGAAAAAAAAACCCCGCGACTGACAATCTCCACAAATAACGCGGCCGAACGTCCCTCGCCGCCTTTTGCAAACACCCTCACAGCCCCGCGACGAGACGCTTCGCGAACGCCACCGTCAACGCGACAATAAGCGAGGTGCGCGGCCTCACCTGAAGGCGAACCCGTGTGAGGAGATGATGAGGCGATGGTGTGGGGTGGGGGTGTGGCAGGGACGACTTCTTTCCCCTCAGCAGATCAAAAAAAATATATTAAAACAGACGACGCCGGCGGTTTGACGCAGCTGGCAAGCCAGCGGACAAGCTCAGTCGAGCAGCCACGGGCGCATTTGCTTTGTTGAAGCAGGAGAAGAAGACGGAAAACAATGGGGATGAATTTTGAGTGCGTTGCGGATGTGTAAAGTGGAGCCCGACTGCGAAGGCGAGCGGGCCAGGCTGAGGGGGTTTCAACCCTCCAACCCTGCCACCAACACAATGGCGTCACAGCGCATCCGAGAGGTTTGGTCGTGACGTCACCACCACCAACGCCGTCGCCCCGCCCCCCACCCGTCACCACCGCGTGACGCCCCTTATAAGCTCCTCCCGCGCGTCATCACGTAAAGCGCGCTGACGTCACGACGTAGCGGCGCGGTGACGTCGCCACCCGCGTTCGTGACGTTGCAGCCCCCACCGTACACTTCCCCCCCCCCAGCTCCGAGGCGCTGCACGTGCAGCAAGCCACGTGGCCGACTTGACGGTGAGCTCCGCCCACTACCACAGCCAATCAAAAACCAAAGTCGTCTTTAGTTTTTGATTGGCATTGATCGATTCGAAGATTACAATCGCCCCACAGCCATGGGCAATCCACCGCTGGATGAAAGCCATTCCACCGTCCGTCTTCGTCACGTTACACACAAAGAACTATACACCTACAGTATACACAGGGGGCTTCAAAAAAATGTTAACACTTTGGAGAATTTGCAACAATACCGCAAGAAATGTGCCTCTCCATGCTCGAGACCACCTGGAGAAGATTCTAGGCATGCGTTGACAGTGGAGACTCTTGACTTTTTGAAGCTATACATTTCTTATGTTACAGTGTAGTATTATCCGTTCTTTTTTTCATTAAAAACGATAGTCCCATATAAGTGTTTTTTTTAAGTAGCCTGTATATAGCGATGTGAAGTGTGTTGCACAATTAAGAAAGACAGCCGCAGTGGGGAAGTGATGGTTGGAGGATATCACACAATGTTGTATGGTATGCGATAGAATGATTGATAACACCATCATGTAAGGAAGATCACAGAGCTTGTAGATGGGGGGAGAATTTGGCACTGGCTTATTGTCTGGCTATCTTCTCACTTGTAACACAAATTGTTTTATTTTACCAAACAAGGCCCACTTAGCGTCGTCGCTCTTTTTCAGAAGTGACCTAGCCATCACAAATGATAGCCCAACGAAGTTGCTTATCGTGTGGACATTTATAGCAGCCAAAATAATCTATAAACGCGTGATGTTGATTATAAATGTGGAGGGGAAACCCGGAGGACCCGGAGAAAAATCCACGCGGTCACGGGGAGAACACGCAAACTCCAAATATACAGCAGGCGTCAGGATCGGGATCGAACCCACGCACTCCCACAGAGGCAGGCGAGGTAGTTAACATCTCACCAACGTGGTTGGTGCCTTTGTGGTTCCTCACGCACATCTAAGAGCAAGCGAATGCCGCGCGCGTTCCAAATTAAAATGAATACTGTCGTACAGACATGACAAACGAGGCGGTATAGATGAAACCATGCAGAATGAGAAGGGGTACGAACGAGATATATTCCAGACAAGACGAACCAAACAAGACAGTATCGGCTAGACGAGACGAAATGATGAAGGCAAACAGGCGAGAACAGACAAGATCGTACAGAACAGACGATGACTACAGATCTGACGTTCCAGACTGAGACACACAGACACAGTACAGGAGAAAGGGGTTTTTTTCGGCCGTCCGGAACAACTTTTAAATAAAAAACTCTTCACGAGAAGTGCTGCGAGGGGCACGACTAGTGTCTTGGCAAGATTGAGAGGCAATGAAGTTCACCTATTCTCTATTCTTAGATGCGTCTATTCGTGTCCGTCATCTACCGGAACAAGTAGTGATAGGATTGCTTTCCTTGCCAACACTCGGGAGGGTTTCGTGGACTTTTCTATTTGGCAAAAACAAAACAAACACGCTACATACAGTACATTCGCCCGTTGCCACAAGTATTAACAGAAGCAACCTGGCACGGGCCTAATAGCAATCGTACCGGCCAAATTTCCAGCCTCGTGCCGTATCAAGTTTAAATGGCAAAATCATTTATAATGCTCGCAATTTGGCCTCATGCTTATTCTTGAGGGCAGAGAGAAGTTGTGGCTGGGTATCACGTTTTACACACGGCCTGCTTTGGGAATATTGGGGGAGTTGAATACGTAGTTTTGAATCGACGTACGAATGTTATTCATTCGTAGATAACTGGGTATCAAAACAAACTCATTAACAGTCGAAAAACATTCAATGTAAACTTCTCACATTTTATTGCAAAACTGCATCACAGTGGGCGCCGCATTGATGCAGATCCAATAATTACGGGAAATAAGCTATTTACTGGATATGATACTGTGTTTTTACGATTGGACTCTGAACAATGAACTCTGCCATCTGAATGCAATTGCCTTCCACTGTTAACTTCAGTGGTGCGTGATAGATAACGGATGCGGTTATGGCCCCCTTCAAACCCACACTGACTAACATGGTGCAGTTTGGAGTCCTTCATCCAGGAGTGGACTGAAAAAAGGTGCATCAGGTGAAAAAAAAGGAATGATGCTCAAGTGCATTGTCATTACTATACTTGATGTAATTTGCACAGTGATGTGTTGGTGCAGTCTATTTTCATTACCACTTTTTAAATGGACACTCAAGATGTCATCACGACCAAAGCCATGCTGGCACCACACTTCGCCAACGCTTTCCATTCTTTGCCAGATCCTGCAGCTGCTGTACATCAGCCACGTACGCAGCAAACCTCCAAGATCTGCCCTAACATTATTTATTTTCCCACCATATGATCTTCGGTTCTTCCCTTTGCTCCCCGGAATTGATACTCACGGGGGCCAGAAACTTCATGCGCACACTGACACTGCTGTTTTGGCTGGGCTTTTTTTTAATTTGCTGCACATGGAAAAGGTAACGCAGGCTAAAACAGGCGGCGCTTTCAATCCTAAAACTGGACTCAAGCCATCCTCTGGTGTTGTGTCTGTGTCTCAATCCTGATGCGGTGCAGGAGGGGCTCTGGAGCTGAGTGGAACTTTGTCGAAGACCGCTGACCAGTGGAGGGAGTTAAGATGAACCTTTCCGTGTGGATGAAAGCTAATGAAGGATCCTACCGGGGCAATTGGAGGCGGCTGCCATCCAGCGACGACATGCAATCTTCAGTGACCGAGGAATGCCGAATAGTAACTGAAGATCGACTCATTAGTGACTGAAGAGTATATTCTTTGGGTCTTTTTGTAGAGTCACGTAGATAGGTTTAAAGAAAATAACAAAAAATAACACAAAACTACGACGTTTCGATTGCAACACAAGCGTTCGTCATCAGGAAGAGGGGGTTAACTTCTAAAGGTAAACTGTTTATAAAGGTTTGAAATGGGCGTAGCCCAAATGTCAGCAGCCAATGTTAATGTAAGTGGTGGGAAGCGACCACGATGGTGGTGGGTTTTCCCACCAATCAAAGGGCTGCCCAGTAAAAATTTGCATGATAATGTAAGATCGTTGAGAGGCCTCCACCGCGGGCGCCCTGAGGTGGCTATGTTAATACTGGTAGGAACCTCCTGGTTCCACCAGCCCACAGGAGATTATTGTGTCCGTCCGTCGTGCATCCAAAAATGGGAGGGGTGGGGCTGGGTGGAGAGGGGAGGGTGGGGAGGGGCTGGGTGGGGAGGGTCTGGGTGGGGAGGGGAGGGGCTGGGTGGGGAGGGTGGGGCTGGGTGGGAGGGGTGGGGCTGGGTGGGGAGGGGCTGGTCACCCCGTGGTGCCCTTATAAAACTCAACGTTTAACCTACTCACGCCGGCTTGTGGCCCGCCCTCACAGTCGGCCATATTTGCGGAATACACCACGCCGCCGTTGACCCTGGCCATTGACCGAGCAACCCAACGTTCCTACCAGCTCCCTCCGCAGGAATGTGTTTTGAGAGATTAGCATGTTAATGGCAGATCGCAAAGCAAAAACCTTGAGCTCGGTGAGCGAGGTTGGCTGTGTTAGGGTGAGAAATTTAACCTGTTAATGTAAAATCAGAGAGCCGAAAATAACAACTAACATCGGAAGGTGGTAGGATGGGAACATCACAGCTAGTTATGACTTAGACTGGTTGATAACGTCCTTCCAATGATTGAAAAGATCTAATGGTTGTGTGGAAACCTTCCCCTGAAGAGTAACCAATAATTACCCTGGGCGTCCCGTTCACTCGAGATAAGCGTGCCAGTGGTCTTCTAATCGTTGCAACCTTGCAATCTACAGTACAACGTTTATAGCGCACATAGCGTCAGTTATGCAAGAAATCATTACATGAGCAGGCTGATAAAACAGCTCGTTGTTACACTTTAGTGGAGTGCGCAGGAGTTGGCATCGACCATTCAGTTAACCCATAACAACACCCGGTGTCTGTCGCAGCAGAGAACCTTCCACGCTCCACGTGGTCTCACTGTGCACCTAGCCTGGCGCACACTCAGTGATAAACGGCGGTTGTTGCTGTTATTTCAAAGATTTGCAGCGATTGCAAACGTTTTAGTTAATATTGTAGTTAAAATATATATGATTGCAATATGTGACCATGTCTCTTTATGTAAGGCAACGCATTAAGAAACACCTCCCTTTATTTTTTGTTTAAATAACCACAGCAATCTAATTATTAAGATATAAAATGGTTAAACTGCATCAACACATTATAGTAAATTTGAATTTTAAAAAAACTCCATTAGCTTCCAATAATTAACACACCACACTTAATGGCACATCAGATAATACCAACGAGATTCAAAAGAGGTACACTGTACGTTGCACACAAGCAACTTCACACATTGTTTATAAAATGCCAACACAAACCATGTATTAAAAAAAACACATTTAAATGGAGAGCACACTGCAAGACCAAAGGCAATACAAGTGAATGCTTAGCAGAGACCACTGGTGATTAGGCCTTACTGGTGACTCATCGGCCCTTTTCCAGACAAACAGGGTTCCTGTTTCCGACATGGATTTCCCTCCAACTTTGGCAAACCGCGCCTTGGGTTTTGGGCCCATTCCGGCGTTATCAGTTTCCTTTACAGCTTCAAGCGCAATTGCTTATTATTTAAACGTGGAATGTTCAATGCTAACAGTCGGTGTTATATATTGTTTTTTTGCCAAATTTCAGAGGGAAAGGACGGTCAGTCACTTTGCTAATGCACACACGAACGCCGACAACACAAAAGGCACACAAACTCGCAAATCAGCAGCAAAGCACCCTCTGCTGGACAGAGGACCCGGTTTTTTTGATTCATGGAACAAAATATATTTTTAACCCGGTTCCCTCAATCCAAAAAAAACAAGCCTTCTATTCTCGATAGACTGCCAATTCATTCTTTCTGACAAGTTGTTCATAGCCATAAACTGCCCTGCAGCCCGCAGACCCTACCTCCGCTTGGGAAAATAGAAAAAAACATACATAATCTTGCTGCCCTAATCAAAGACGGGGTAGGTGGGGGCGTGCGGTATAAGAGGTTTTTTTGTTTAAGAAACAAGCAATTAAAGTCTGGCTGTGAGCAATGTGAGCCGTGCTATGTTTGTGGTTTTTTCTTTCACCTGAAATGCATAAAGACCTCCCTTTTCAATGCGGCTTGCGAGGCGGGGGAGCAAACATTGACAGCCCTACTCCCGATTACAGCAACACTTCTGATTTTAGCTGCTGCTGTTGCTGTTGCTGCCAGCATGTTTCACAGGGGAGCTCGTGTCGTCAGGAGAGCGTGTAGGGCCCGTGTCGGGCACGCACGGGCACCCTCTGTGCGCCCGCAGAAGTGTCCGCAGCCTCTGCTGTGCGCCGTGCCGGAGGGCTGCCGTAGAGCGGCTGCAGGACGTGCCATGGAAATAACACCACGCGCGCACGCACACACGCACGCACAACACCACCAGTTAATATTATAGATGGTGAAGGTGCAGCCCTGCAATTGCTTTGCCTACGCTACTGCCGGCGGAAGAGAGTCTCACTAGAGGGCAGCTCCCGAGAGCTAATAACTTGGAAATCAAAAGTTAGTACAGGGATGAGCAATGCACTCACACAAAAAAAAAAAATCAGTAATTGGTTGGCTGTGGTTGCTCACTAGAGGCACCTATTGATGGCTGGAAGAATTCCAATATTTCTCTAATTATCATAATTAAAATCTTGATTTATTGAAGCATGTTTGTTTTCATAATAGTCCTCGGGTTACTATTAATGTATTGAATTATGTTAGCCCGTCAATTAACTTTTAATTCAGAAACTCATAGTAGCGCAAGGCATGAGCTTCCGTGTACGCTGTGGCTGTGATAAGACTACATCAAGGCTACCCTAACAGCGAGTTTCATTATTAAGTAAGTTGCCCATTCATTCCTCCCTTTGTAAAGCAATCTACATATGGCTGGTACTCTTTACATAACTAATGCCTATATATCTCACATATTCGCCAATATTAAAATGGCATTAGACCAGTCATTGTTTATTACCTCGTCAAAAGCCACACCAATAATGCATCACTGCTATATTTGCGTATGGGATTCTCTTGCGCTAAATTAGGTATCATACACAGGGATTGTGACCAAGTGTGTGGCTGATGTCAATTAACATTATGCACCATTAGGGATTACAAGGCTTACATTTTGGACATTAGTCGCGTCTATACTTAAAACTAGTAAACTAAGAATATATTTTTTCATATTTGCAGCAACCAAAGCTTACAGCCCGGAGGTTGACTGGTTCACTCACAGGCTAGAATTCTACATTGATTGTAACACCAGTTACCGGCTTTGAATATGTTCTAAACACTGCATAATAACGGCAGTGACTAGTGTCGAGGGGATATGAGAAACTGCGCGGTGTTGATTGCTTTAGAGGCTCATGACTGCCCATGTGTTTGGGCTTGAGTGGCACCTGCCTGACAGCAGTTGCCACGTCGTCACGAGAAAGCCCTCTTACCTTTGTGAGCTCCTCAAGGCTCGAGGTTCGCGCGGAAAACCTTCTGGATCCTGGTTCCCCGAAGTGCGCGGAAGCTCTATCATTGAGGGCTCCGCCGTAAGGCCCCCCGCCGCCAGTCGGTGCGGTCACCTTGAGTTGACGGATTTTGCCGTGGAGGTGGTGGAGGAGGCGCAGGGTTCCAGCGCTGTGCCCCATGCCCGCGTCGCTGCCCCCTACGTCGCCGCTGCCCATGTCGGGCGCCGCCAACCCCATGGCGTCGCCCGGGTCGGCAAGGGCAACTCGAGTCGGCACAGAGGAGGAGCGGTGTCGTCGCGGCAATGCGCTGCATTCCTGCCACAATGCAGAGCCTTAGCGACGAGAGACTACCAATGCTTTGGATTCAATATATGAAAAAAAAATGTCGTGTATATACTGATACAAAAAAATCGCTAGGCACAGGCCCGAGATGGCCAAGCAGACAAACCACAAATGGCAATGTGAGGTAAAGTTGTTTATGTGCTGAATGAGTTGCGCAATACTGTACAATGTTTGCTGTCCGGGAGCTGTCCATTGTGTAATGTTCCTGATGATTGCTTCGCCTGCGTACACAAAACATGGCGTCAATAACAACATGACAATGAAGAAATTGAGGACATGCAAAAACAAAAGCCTCCACTCACAAATACAGAAAGTAGTGTCAATGCTATTATTAAATCTGACTCAGCGAAGATTTTCGCTTTTGCACTATACTGCCCTCTGATGCATTTTCAGGGTCCGTACCACGTGTCGTCTGGTACGACGTTTCTCTTTACGTGCTGAAAACCGAAAAAGCTCAGAAACACAAAAACCTACCAGCATGTGGAGCGCAAACGTCGGACACGAATGCCGCACAACAGGCAATACAGAACCCTTGAATTCTAGATTTGAAGCTTTCGTGACTGCAAGGATTCATACTCTTAGTTCTTTCGGTAAAGTCACGTAGGTAAAAAATGAAATTAAAATTAAAATAAAACAATAAAAATCACGACGTTTCGGAGGCAACACAAGTCTCCGTCATCAGGTGGGACTGTCACAGCCAGATTAGCTGCATCAGGTGGGACCGTCACAGCCAGATTAGCTGCATCAAGCAGCTAATCTGGCTGTGACGGTCCCACCTGATGACGGAGACTTGTGTTGCCTCCGAAACGTCGTGATTTTTATTGTTTTATTTTAATTTATTACCTACGTGACTTTACCGAAAGAACTAAGAGTAAGAACCTTTGAAATTACACCGAGCGTCATTCAGCCCGAAACGTCGCGCGCCACTGCTGTGCTCGGGCGTGTACCGCAGCAACTCCACGTGCAGCTCCTCCTGGAACTTGCGCGCCAGCTTGCCAGCCGTGCTTTCTTTCCACTGACGCATCCCGCGCTGGACAGCGCGCAGCTCGCCGTCTTTCTCGCGCATCTGCTCTCGCAGCTGGCGCACCTCGTTCTGGAGCTCACGTGAGCCGCCCTGGCCCGCCGTGTGGCCGTTTTCACCATCGCGCTCGAGGCCCTCCCTGGAAAAAGCCTCAAGGTCGAAGTCGAAGCCGTCACGTCGTTGGCTGCATGGGTGCCCGGCGCTGCCGCTGTTCTGCCGAGCCGCGTACTTTGGTGGAGCGCCTCGCCAGCTCAGCTCGCGCTGTTGATGTGAGCCCTGGATGCTGGAAATCTTGAGAATGTGCAGCTCTTCGTTGTGATCCTAATGAACAATAGCAGCAGTTATGAACAATGCTGCGTTGAGAAAATAACACGAAAACACAGCACAATACGTGAAACAATATGTTTTCAGTTCAAAATCCCTTATATGATATGGTCGTATAGATATGTTTTAAGGTACATTGAATTTAAAAATGCAGTATTGGGCAAAACCGGTTTAGACAAATAATGGACCTTATGGGAAAAATTGGGTTGTGTTCCTGGGTCCAAAATGACCACCCCCCTCACTCTTTATTGAAGGTCTGTTCAGCTGAAACACGTGTTGGATAAGTCTCGCTGGGCAAGGTTTTCCCGTAATATGAAGCCATAATTCGTCATAAAGGTTTTATTTCTTGCTCAAATGAGCATTGAGGCAGTGCTCATCTCCTGTTTACAGTTCACAGCCCTGAACCAGTGGTGCAAATTCCACATTCCTATGGCAGGGCTAATCTATCCAAAGGACAATCGCTGTTGGGTTGAATCAACCCCCTAGCAGGATTTGGCCTCGCAAAACTTCTGCCGCTGAGACACCCAGCCCGGTGATTTCTTGAGGACGGCACCTGAATCAACCTCTCCTTGACCTCCTCCACGGCGGCTGCTTTTTCCCGCTCCAGTCGCTCCCTCAACTCATTCAGCTCCTTCTCCTGATGGAGGGATGGGGCCGCGGGGTTCACATTTACTTGAAGGGCATCTCAAGATCCAACACAAACACACTGAATCCAAACCCCCCCCCCTGCCTCCATCTCACCACCCTAAAGCCAGCGTGAGACTTTGTTTACTCTGCTTGATGCCATAGAACAAACCGTGTGTTCAATACATGCTGCAACCACTGAAATACCCACGGAAGAAGAATCGTCCAGCACTGCACACTGCGGGGTCCTTGTAAATAAATTTTTTTTTTTTTACAGTGCGGTGTTCATAATGCGGTTTCAGCTTAAATAACCTGGAGTTTAGCAGACTTTAAGGAATCGCTTTCAGGATTGGATTCGGCCTTGAAATAAATTACATTCACCGAATTCTGAGAATTCAACCTGACCTTGGCTTCACATTAATAGGTAGAGGTGCAGCCCTGCGATCTGCTTTGCTCACGCCACTGCTGGCAGAAGGGCCCCCACGAGAGGTGGTGGGTGTGAAGGGCACCCCCAGACGGTATCTTTCCACGCTGGCCAATCTTGGAAAAAGTGGCAGGAACCACACTTCACCCCATGATATCATTGTTTCGTGCAGAGAGATCTATTTACCATTCTTCACTTGAAATGAACAAAGAAAGATGAATTACCGGTAATAAATAATAATCTGATTGAAAATGCCGAAGAAGGTACAATGCTGGAGTCCACCCATATTAAACATCACTCTTCCCTGTCACCAATATTAATATAACAGCGTATTCTATGTGTGCATGACTTCATTATATGAACATTAGTTTAATCCTCTCTTTCTCAAGGGAAATGTAAAAAGTTAATACCGCACCACAAATGCAAACGGCACCCCCCCCCCCCCAACCGTGTGCTCCCCTCCCACCCCGTTCATGCATGAACGGTTAGTGCGGTACGGGTAGCTACGTACGGTGCGAAAGAAGTTCAACATGCACGTGCGTGCACGAGCTCTCACGAGCGTGCCCGGCGATGGTGGAGGCGCGGAAGAGTGTTGCGGCACGGCGGCTCCCGTGAGGCCGTCTCACCTTGGCGACTTGCAGCTGCTGCGCCTGCCGCGTGCGGTCGCTCAGCTGCTGCTGCAGGTGCAGCACGTGGTGCCGCAGGTCGTCCCCCACCTCGCGCAGGCCCTGCAGCGCCCGGCTCGCGGGCAGCCGCGCCCCGCTGGCCCCCAGCAAACACACATGGCAAAGGCCCCGACGTAATTCAAGCTGAAGGGGACCGCTCGGGGCAAGTGCTGTTCGCGATTAGCGGCACATGTGCAGGCCGGCACGGCCCACGATGGGGGTGGGTGGGCAGCGCCACGCCCCCGGCCGCCTTTGTACCCCCCCAGTGGCGATGTTTAACACACCATATTTAAGGCTGAGTCGACCTAGGGAGTGGGGGGCCCAGGACCGATTCAGATAATCGTCACTGGACAAGCACACACGCTCGGCGGATAGTGCATTCTTGAGCATGGCAATATGCATGTTCACAATCTAAATGCCAATGTCGAGGTCTGCTGACCAATGATAAAAGAGTTTCAGAAGAGAGTGTGTGTAGTTTTGCTATTCCTCCTCCGTTGAAGGAGTGCAGACTAAGCATTGCCCGGGTGTCGATGATAAAAGTAAAAAAGAAAATGTGGGTATTTCCACATCAACGTATGCGGGTCATAATTGGTTTTTTACCCTTTTATCTGGCAACAAAACTGACACCTTTTTAACGAGGAGTCATGTTTGCATAGACCACAATACCTGCAGTCATAATGCAAAAAAAACATAACTCTGATAATGTATGCACTGTCCTTGAAGTTGATTGGTCCACACCCGAGACAGCTTTCCTTAGAGCTTAGAGCCTAGTCTCACATGGGTTGGACCAGATGATGCCAAAAGGCGCCTTTTGGCGTCATCTGGTCCAACCCATGTGAGACTAGGCTCTGAGGAAAGCTGTCTCGGGTGTGGACCAATCAACTTCAAGGACAGTGCACATTATCAGAGTTATGTTTTTTGTTTGCATTATGACTGCAGGTAATGTGGTCTATGCAAACATGACTCCTTGTAAAATAGGTATCAGTTTTGTTGTCAGATAAAAGGGTTAAAAACCAATTATCATATTTTTTACTGCCAAATGAGGAACCAATGGTGTATACGGGTTATTTTCACTTTTCCGCTATCTTAATCTGTTCTAGCCTTACCAATCCCAGCAGTTGTATACCTGTGCGTGGCTCTGGCAGGGCTCCTGGGAATGCTCTTGCTGCCTGTGCTCTCTATCAGCTCTTGAATCTTCTCGATCTCAGAAGCGAGCTCGGTCGCCAGACTTTGATCCTGCCGCTCAGCCTGCTCGCTCATCTCGCTCTGCCTCTCCGCAAGCTCGGAGCTCAGTGCACGCAGCTCTGCTCCCAGCCTCTGGCTCTCCGTCTCTCCCTCGCGAAGCTCCATCTGCAAACGCAGCCTCTCACTCTCTCCGTTTTGGAGCTCCTGTCTCATCCTCTGTACCTCGTGGTGACCCGAGTGCAGGCTTTCCTCCAACGTCTGTTTTTCAATCTCCCTCTGGCGAAGCTCTTTCTCTTGCCTCAGCAAGGCGATCTCCTTTTGGTGAAGCTCCATCTCGAGCCTCTGCCTCTCCGTGTCTCGCTCGCGCAGATCCTTCTGCATCCTCTGCATCTCCAGGCCGCATGCCTGCAGGTCCGCCATCGTCTTCTGACACTCTCTGTCTCTCTCGTTGAGTTCCTCCTCCATTTTCTGCGCGCCAAGCACCTTGTCGTTGAGCCTCTTCTCCAGCCTCTGGTTTTTCGCCTGCGCTTCCTGCAGCTCCGCCACGAGCCTCTGCCGCTCCTCGTCCCCCGCCTTCTCCTTCGCCGACGCCTCCGCGTTCAGCGCGCGCAGCTCCTTCTCCGCTCTGTGCAGCTCCGAGTCTCTCGCGTGGATCCTCTTCTCCAGCTGGAGCTTCTCGCCGTCCCATTCCCTCTCCGCCTGCCGCTTGCTCTGCTCCGCAGCCTGCAGCTCGTCTTGCGCCCACTGCTGCTTCGTGATCGTCTCCTGGAGGTCTCTCAGGAGGCGATGCTTCTCGGCCTGGACTTCCTTCTGCAGCCTCTTCCTCGCTGCCTGCGCGGCGAGCAGCTCCTGCTCCAACGCCGCCCCCTTGGCGGTGAGCTTTTCGACTTCTCGCTCCTTCTCCTGTGCGCGAGTTCACAACGACGACGACGACAACAACAATGACAAAAACAATCCACAATGTTTGCCTTTCATAGACTGTTGGCGCAAGTGTTGATAGTGAGCACCTACTGAGGGGCTGTCGTGGCCTCACCACCACCGGCCCACCTTATACTGGTAGGAACCTCCTGGTTACACCAGCCCACAGGGGATTATTGTGTCCGTCCGTCCGTCGTGCAGGGAGGGGCTGGGTGGGGAGGGAGGGGCTGGGTGGGGAAGGGGAGGATGGAGAGGGGCTGGGTGGGGAGGGGCTGGGAGGGGAGAGTGGGGATGGGCTGGGTGGGGAGGGTGGGGCTGGGTGGGGGGGGGGAGAGGTGGGGCTGGGTGGGGAGGGGCTGGTCACCCCGTGGTGCCCTTATAAAACTCAATGTTTAACCTACTCACGCCGGTTTGTGCCCACCCTCACAGTCTGGCATATTTGCGGAATACACCACGCCGCCGTTGACCCTGGCTATTGAGCGAGCAACCCAACGTTCCTACCGTCTCCCTCCGCAGGAATGTGTTTCTCCCAACTGCAGATGTTCACGCACGACATCACCAGTGCTCACTTGACGTTAAGATTACCTAGGGAAGGCCCACGACCCATTCAGACGCCACTCGTCACTGATATTAGGCTTGAGGCTCGGTGAGGCTTTCTTGGTTAAATAAAAAAAAAAAATTCAAGAGACAGTGTAGGAAGCTGAAGTCGAGTGTGGAGTAGAGCGGTAAAGTGTGGTGTTGAGCCCTGTGGCTTTAACGCAATGCACAGTGAACCCTGTGACCTGAGTTCCATTCTTGGCCACGGCTAACATCAGTTTCGCCCCCCCCACCCCTACTTTACCAACCCGCACTGACCAGCGTGGTGAAGTATGGTCAAACAACCCACACGGCGCGGGGAGGAGGCTGTACATGCAGTGAAGTGTACACATTGCGTCCACTGTTTGACGCATGCCACCGGGCGACGGAGACGCGCGTGCGTGCGGGACATCTCACGGCTTGCAGGTGGGCGCGCAGGGCCTGCAGGGCCTCTTGCTGCTCGTGCCGGAACGACTGCTCCACGGCGCACACAGCCGCCAGCCGCTCGGCCTGCAACTGCCGCGCCTGGGTCCGCAGCTCCTCCACCTCCTGTCGGAACACACCACCGTGAGCGCCCACGCCACGGTACGTGTGACGGGTCTTACCAAGGGCGGCGCCTTGTACGTGTGTTGAACCTCTTTTTGCACCGTACGTAGCCAACCGTGCTAATCGGAGGTGTGGGGGAAGGGCAACAAACTGAACACAAAAAGCAGTTCGGAAAGAAATTCGTTTTACGATCTACATTCAAAAGTGCAACGCTCCGGTGGAGGAGCATCTCGGGAAGATGTTCGTGCACTTCACGGGCTCACTGTTTGTTAGCCAGGCCGGGCCAGGCCCGTGACTGGCAAGGATGGGCAGTATCTAAGTGACACGTGATGAAAATATGTAGCATCGTTACATTTGTAATCTATAGAATAAAAGGGAAATTTGTAAATGTGTGTGTCTGTTCGAAATATTTAGCATACTTCCCAACATGCAACAAACTTGAAATTTGGAATGTGGGTAGCTTCCAGACTGCACACAATGCAAACGCATAAAAAAATTACTTTTGTATTTGAGGCGGGGAGGGGCGCAATAATGGATATATTTTGCACGGCAAGTGAGCGGTGACGTCACATTTGGGAAACATGTTGGCCCTATTTTCCGTTTACCGTTTTTTTTAAAGCGGATTTCTTTAAGCAGAGGCATGCTTAGTCGTTTTTTACGCCCATCTGTCTGTCTAACCAATGTTTGTGAGATCAGATAAAATAGAGACGCAACATTTTCTGAATGGATTTGTACGCGCCAGCTAGACAATATTTTAGACCGACTTACGGTGTTTATTTCTGCAGTAAATAAAACATTTGACATTAATACATTCTCAGAAATGTTGAGAAATGAAATCAAGTTCATATTCCCTCTGTACGCGCACGGGAATTGAAATAATAATAACATCTTCGTTATTTTATTTCTATTTTTTTTATTTGTTTTCCTCTCATTTGGCGCCCCACTTAACTTGGCGCCCTAGGCGACCGCCTAGCTCGCCTATATCGACGGGCTGCCCCTGTAGCCAGCACTTGTGGATTCGAGATCATGAGTTTTTAATCAGACTTTCATTACATTATTTATAAATACAATAGAATCTGTATTTAAAAACCACCAAATTGTGACCAGCCAATAATGTAAAAAAAATTAACCCGTAAAAACAAAGTTTTTCACTATAAATCCTTTATATGCGTGGCGGCTAGAATCCTCTCGTCATCTGGCTTGAGATGGCTGCCACCTATGGGTCAGATGATTGCCTGCCACCATTAAGCAATTGGTAATTAAATATAATTTTCTTTTTTCCTAAAAGGTGTAAAAATTTGGAAACATTTTTTCACGAAAATTAATTGTCACGCACAACGAGTCTGTGTGCAAAATGTCAGCTCGATTGGATCACGGCAAGTGGGTTAAAAAACGACCGAAAAATTTGCACGGTCGTAAGCGCGCAAGCAAGCAAGCAAGTGAACTTAATATAAAGGATTTAAAAAAGCAAAAACACATTCCTGCGGAGGGAGCTGGTAGGAACGTTGGGTTGCTCGGTCAATGGCCTGCAGGGTCAACGGCGGCGTGGTGTATTGAGTTGCAGCTGTACACATCTCAGCGCCCGAAGGGAAGAAAGCTAACGGATGCCCAACCTGCGTCAGCTGCGAAGTCACCTCCCGCAATCCACGCGTCGCCTGTCGCTCAGACTCCAGGTCCAGTGCGAGGGCTCGGACGGCCATCGCCCCCTCCTCCTGCCGCGCCACCCGCTCCCGTTGCCGCTCCATCTCCCAAGCGGCACGCTCCGTGCCAACCGCTCGCTGCGCCTGCACGGCATGGTGGTGCCCGTGGGTGCACGTTGACCTGGCCGTCCACTCACGAGCGGGAGCCTCTCTGCCCACGATTCTCTAGACCAGTAATTCTCGAGTCCCACAATACCCTAGTCCCACCATTCTCTAGGCCCACAATTCTCTAGTCCCACAATCCCCTAGTCCCACAATTATCTAGTCCCACAATCCCCTAGTCCCACAGATTGCTAACCCCACAATTCTCTTGTCCCACAATCCCCTTGTCCCACAGTTTGCTAACCCCACAATTCTCTAGTCCCACAATTATCTAGTCCCACAATTATCTAGTCCCACAATTGTCTAGTCCCACAATACCCTAGTCCCACAATCCCCTAGTCCCACAGATTGATAACCCCACAATTATCTCGTCCCACAATACCCTCGTCCCATAATTCTCTATTCTAACAACGTTTTTACACCAACAACGCAACTGTAAAACTAACCTTGGGTCTCACTTGCAAAAGAGATGTTAATGTTTTAGCTCAAAAGTTAGTGAACTCTACCCACAATCCCTTAACAAGTGTAATCCATCCTGGGATGGTGAATTCATTTTCATGTACGTGTCAAACCACGGACTTATTCCACAAATTAAGCCACATTTTCAAAATAAACTGTAGATAGTACCTTCGAAACGACACCCTGTACACCATATAGATATCAGTAGGATGATGCTGACATTTTGATGGTGAGGTTGCCAAATTTGTGAAAATGCGTTCATTACTCAAGGCCTCACCATCTCAGTGGCTTCCTCTCTGAGCCGGGCACTCAGTTTGAGGGCAGCAGCCTCCTGCTCCCTGAGGGCAGCCCGCAGCTGGCACACCTCCTCCTCCCTCGCCTGAAACCAAAGAAAAAGTCAACGCGTGGGCTCAGATTACTCGCAAACACCATCAGAGAAAAATAAACTCTGCTGACACATCTGGGGCAGCGATGGTTCAGCGCACGGCACCGTTGAACCCAGTGACTCCAAGTTTGATTCACAGTCATTGGGGAGTGGTGCTAACCCGAAACGGATGCTGGGAGTATGGATGCTTAATTTGCAACCCCATTTGTCGAGGCACCGTACGTATGAACTTCTTTCGCGCCGTACGTCACCAACCGTGCTTATCGGAGGTGCGGGGGAAGGACAAGAAACTGAACACAACGGGCAGTCCTCAAGAAATGAGTTTTCAATCTATATTTAAAAATGCATTGTTCCAGTGACTTCTTAATATCGTAAGAGCGTTCCAGACGGCCGCAGAAGCGCATCTGAAAGCGCGCAATGCAGCAATCGTCGTTGTTCGATGGCCAGCCAAAAGCCTCTGCTGCGAGGATGACTGCATTTCGCGTGATGGTTTATGCTCCTGAACGAGCTCAGCCGGGCAATGTGGTTGTATGTGCGTATGTAGAACTTCTTTTGCACCATACGTAGCCAATCGTGCTTATCGGAGGTGTGGTTCATTTGTGGCAAGCACTTTGAGTGTAACGAGCTGCATTGGTCAGATTCTGCAGCGCCTGTCACGTGCACCACGGCACGGCTGTTGCTCGACACCTCACAGGTGCATTGCAACCGCGGCGGCTCGCGGCACGCGGCGGCTACGCGCGGGGGCCACGTCCGTGTGCCCACCTTCACGGTTTGCGCGTAGTGCGCGAGCTCTGCCGTGTGGCGATCGGCGAGATCCGCCAGCGCTCGGCTCCTCTCCTCCTCCAGCCGCTCTGACAGCTGACGGGGGCGGGGAGGGAGGGATGGGGGGGGCATTGGGGCAGAGGTGACGATCATCGTGCGACCGCCACTCGGGCAACCTCGCAAGCTTTGCTCAAAAGACGCAACGGTCAGGACAACGGCCCATTAGGGAACGAGGCAGCTAACAGGGACGAGCCTTGGATGCTTCTGCTGCCACTCTTTGGATCTGCGATAGGTTGGTTGAGTCTGGGCGGTGGGGCCTTTGGCAAATGCAGTGATTTACTTTGGAAAGGGTAAAAAATTTCATTCAATTTAGTGCATAAACGCTTGAGAGGTGATGCAATGAATTTAAATCCAAAAAAGCGAAATAAAATCCGAAAGTGTCTGCCTGAAAATCTGACATCATCCCTGTAATGATAAAAATATGACTGTATAGATGAATAACTCCATGTGCAGAAAACTCAAAACAAACCACGGCAAATAAAAGGCTCAGAGTTAGAGCCACTGGATGGGCACAGGTAAGGCACCAATGTGGTCCTGCAAAGTAGCCATGCGGCTGTAAATCACAGAGCAGGGCTTTCGAAGCTGAATTGTAATGTATTTGCTGGTGGAGACGAGAGCTATTAAGAGCCTCATACGCAGGATATCCCACACGCCTGGATGCGATTCAGCCATCTGAAATAGAATCGCCGCGCTGAGCTGTTGTACGATTGGACGCAAGCTGATTCCACATGAAAGGAAGCCAAGAGTGCCAATTACTGACGGATCATGAATGCGTCTGTGTGAGAAATAACCACCTGCTCCAGCTCCTCGGTTTTCAGCCTCACGAGTTCATCTCTGTGCTTCTTCAGAGCTCCCTCCTGAAACGGGAAAAAATAAAAGACAACTTTAATAACCTCGATGCAGACGATGCATTTTTTTCATGGCTTGCTCACATTTTTACTTGTCGACTGTGTTCATTTGCACGACAAAAAATAACCACCCACACCAAATGTCACCCCGTTCAACACGTAGGATTTTGCGACCAATATTATCCGTAGCAGAGCTTTTGTTCGTTAGATCGCGTAAAAACGTGTCGTTAAACCCACCACCACCCGACACGGCCAATTAGTAAGGCTTGTCACGTAAACAAAACGTGCCAATTCATTCGAGTACAGTACTCGCATTGTAAATGTTGTGGGTTTTTACTTGTTACGATGTGAAATTACGCAGCGAAAATAATCCCCGACGAAACGTTTGCGTTACACCTCCACCTGACCGAACAGAAACGGTCCGCCTGCTGTATTGTTTCCACCTTGTGTGGCTATCGAAACGTCGCGATCGATGACTTATTTTGTCTCTCTACGTGACTTCACCGACAGAACCAAAGAGGATAGAGACGTCAATCTCCCGCAGAATAACGCGCCCTCACCTTCTCCAGGGCGAGGCTCTCCACGGTGCCAGCGAGGCGCCTCACCTCGTCCTCCCTCAGCCGCTCCATCTCCCTCGCGTGCGCCGCTCGCGCCCTGCCCAGCTCCCTCTCCTTCTCCTCCAGCTCCCTCTCCTGCTGGACGCGCATCATGGTCAGCTCAGCCTGCAGGCGAGCCAGGACAGCGTCCTTGTCCCTCGACTCCTCCGACACCCTCTTCACCTCCGCTTCCGCCCACCTCCGCGCCGCGGCGGTCTCCCTCCCCTGCTGCAGCTGCGAGCGCCCGAGCTCCTCCGCCTTCGCCTGCAGCTCCGTCCTCTTGTCCTGCAGCTCCGCCTCCTTCTCCTGGAGCACCGCTCCCCTGTCTTGTAGCTCCACGCCCAACACCTTGTTCTCGTCTCTCAGCGCGCCGAGCTCTGCTCTCAACCTGCTCTGCTCCTCTTTGGCCCTCGCCAGCTCCACCTCGAGCCGGGCGTGATCTTCCCTCTGTGCCCTGAGGTTCTCTCCCTTCGCTCTAATCTCCACCTCCAGCCTTGTTTGCTCCTCTCTCTGGGCCCTCAGCTCTTTGCCTTTGGAATCGAGCTCTGCCTCCAAGCGCAGCGCGCGCTCCTTGCTCTGCGTGGAGGCCAGCAGCCGCTCCGCGAGCACGCTCTCCAGCGCCGTCTCCCTCCGGCTCCTCCCCAGCTGCTCCACGTCTCGCTCCTGGCCAGGGGACCTGTCCTGCTCAGTGAACATCACCAAACACCACCGCTGTAACATCATCGTCGTCGTCGTTGTCATCTTTGTCGTCACGACGGTGACCGTCGTTAGATTTTTGCTACCAATCAAGAGCATCATTAGCATCATCATGTTCAAATCACCATGGACACCAACAACCACATCTCCATGCTGGAGAATATGCATGTCGGGATAACGTGTGCACACCATGCGGAAAAACCAGCGAACACGCCAACGTTGGGCCAACGTTGGCGTGCACCTGGAACCGCTGGTTCACATTGGCCCAGCGGTTCCACGTTTACTGGGAACACACAACGTGCACCCGAGAGGAGGGTGTTTGCGTCCGTGCCACCGGAGCGTGCGCCTCCATTACCCTGGCGGCGACGGTGCCGGGGGCAGCCGCTGGTAGCGCATGCGGGAGGCGCGGTGGGGCGCGCGTCTGTGCGCTTCTGTTTGCTGGAGTCGTCCGAGCTGGGTCTGCACGCGTCGGCACTGCTGCTTCTGCTGCTTCTTGCCGGCCGACCAGACCTGACCTGCTGGACACACACAGAAGCTCCGTTTGTAACGACAGTACGCGGTGCTTATATTCATCATGATTCATATTCTTGGTACTTTCGGTAAAGTCACGTAGAAGCTGTCCTCAGGTGAAGAAACAGGTCCGTTCTTCACCTGAGGACGGCTGCTTGCGTTGTGGCCGAAACGTCGTGAGAATTATTTTATTATGTTTTATTTTTATTATTTTATTACTTCCCTTCTACGTGACTTTACTGAAAGAACCAAGAAGATGAATCCCTGTAGTCACGAAAGCTTTAAATCGAAATTCATCATGATTGCCGAGTACATGCACCGAAGCCTCAAAACCGCCAGTGGTATCCTGGGTATACATCAATGTAATCGTTAAAAAAAGTCGACAGCCATTTGTCAATGCACTGCTGGATGACGAACTCCCCGTGGGGTTTGTTTGACCATACTTCACCACACTTGTTAATATGGGTTGGTGAAGTTGGGGGGGGGGGGGGGCACCCAAGACAGGTTCGCATTTTACTCGACGCTAATGTCAGCCGTGGGCTGGGAGTCGAATTCATGTCGCCAGGTTCACAGTGCAGTGGCATGTGCGGCACCGCGCATAACGATGGCAGTAGTAAAGTTGTTTCTCTGTAAATCTGGGGCAAACGTTAAACTTGAAGCCATTTGAGAAATATGACACAAGGCAAAATATATCTACCAACTTTACAATGCCCCCCTTGCCCCAGGCTGTACTCTGTTCTACCTGAGTTTAGTGCATGCCACCTGTGCTTTGGGCGATGCCACACGTGGCACACACACTGTTCACGTGTGTTCATTAAGGAGCGTGCAAGACATATCTCCCCATACGACTGCAGTCACCGCAATCCAAGGAACAAATTGTGGCCTAAGTCAAAATGTGTTTTTTTCGATAATAAGTTGAAAATAATTAACGAGAACCTTGCAACAATTTAGCAGTAAATCATTCGTCTTTACAAAAGAGGTCCACGAACCACCTCTCATTCGTTGCAGTTCCGCGCAAATCGCTGCAGGCAAGTTCCTCCTCGCTTGTAAGCACTGCAACAATACTATTATACTGGTAGGAACCCACTGGTTCCACCAGCCCACAGGGGATTATTGTGTCCGTCCGTCGTGCAGGGAGGGGCTGGGTGGGGAGGGAGGGGCTGGGTGGGGAGGGGCTGGGTGGGAAGGGTGGGGCTGGGTGGGGGTTTGTGCCCGCCCTCACAGTCGGGCATATTTGCGGAATACACCACGCCGCCGTGGGCCCTGGCCATTGACCGAGCAACCCAACGTTCCTACCAGCTCCCTCCACAGGAATGTGTTTCCAATGGTAACACAAATCGGCAACGTAGCTAGATGTTAGATATGCCCCACCGGCTTGTTTATGCGTTATTTGCGTTAATTTTCCATTGCATTTGCAATAGAGACTCGCCAACGCACACAGTGCTCAACCAACAGAGCTACAGCATCAACACCAGAGCCTAACGAACGACATTTCACCCCATTGTCCTTCGCTGGGAAACTTTGACGCATGTTGGTGTTTTACAACAACAGTAACACAACAACAACAACAACCCCCTTTCGCAACCAAGTGGCAGTGACTTCATCACGGCGCCTGTGCCAGGACAGGTGCACCGTGAGGCCACGTGTCGAAGGCTGGCTGCTCACTGGAGGTCACGGGACAGACCAAGGTGCCACATGGGTTGGCCGAACGACTGAGATGACTGGCAAGATGCACCAGCGGCGCCCCCTGCTGTGCCAACTTGCAACTCCGGCTGACCGCCTGATGAAGCTGGTTGTAATTACCGGCGAAACGTCGTACTCGAATCGTAAATGCTGTGTGGTTTACTCTCCCACACACCGGTGTTGCTGAACTGGTAACGAATTGGCATGTTCTGTTTACGTGACAAACCTTACTAATTGGCTGTGTCGGGTGGTGTCGGGGTTTAACGACACATTTATATTCACGCGATCCAACCCCCAAAAAAACTTTTTCATGGATAATATTTACTCTTTGGTTCTTTCGGTAAAGTCCCGTAGAAAATAAAATCAAATAACAATAGAATACGACGTTTCGATTGCAACACAATGCCACACAGAGAGTCGGTTAACACACAATTAACGCATAGCCTGGTTGATTACATTCTTCCAAATGATTGCTAAATTAGAAGTTAAGTGTGAAACAGACAAAACATTTTAGAGAGAGAAATAGGAAGTTTGACACAGTGGTGCTGTCTTTTCTTTTTGTCATTCTTTGGAGGAGGGTGGTCAGCCACGTGGGGTGTGTTGCCTGTTGTGTTGTCCGGCTCTCTGTGTTGTGTTGCATTGTGTTTCTAAGTTGACGATGTTTGTTTTAATCATTCATTCTTACCTGATGATGGTTGCTTGTGTTGCAATCGAAACGTCGTATTCGATTATTATTTGATTTGATTTTCTACGCGACTTTACCGAAAGAACCAAAGAGTAATTCTTGCAGTCACGAAAGCTTCGAATCTAGTTTGGATAATATTTGGTCGCGAAAACCTACTACTACTACGTGTTAAACTTGCTGCATTTTAGCCGCCCGGCGCTCCACTCGGTGTTTTACACACAACAACAAACGACAAACCAAAAAACACATCCTTTTCCCGACATGTGTCATTGCATACATTGGTTCTAACAGTTCCGTGGTGCTCAAGTTTTTAAGTGATCTCTGATCAAAACACAGAAGGCATGAAAAATACGAATAGGTTTTTACCAGTTTCTGGCAATAACACTGGAGGTGTTAAGATGTTCAAACACCAAATAGAAACATTTTGCAAGGACTCAAGTACTGCCTTAACCGCACACGGTACTTGTTGGTGAGCATGCAAACAAACATTGCTCTGTTAATATAGTACGTGTACGTTAATGCAGTACTTGATTGTTTGAACATCTGAACAAAACTCCTGTTGTATTGCCTGTTCTTATTTTTCATACTTTGCTACTGGAAAGAATGTTAATGCAGTCATTGATTCCTTGCCAAATGTATCTATTTGAAGTTTGAACATTTTAACACAACTCCTGTTTTATTGCCAGAAAGTATCAAACCTATTCTTATTTTCTTACGTTGATACTGGCAACAACAACAAAGGCCCCACGATACAACAGAGGACGAGAACGACAAAAAAAACACCGAACCATCTGCGATTATCTGACCGGTGGCAATAACCCGCATCCCGGACGAACACCGCGCACTTGAACCTCACCACGGCCCGGTGACTGCGGACATCACCACGACCACCACCACCACCACCAACTCCCCCACCAAAGGCCGACAGCCGACACGACCGTCAGAATCTGGATCAAAGAATATGCGTCTGCGCTGGAGGAATCCGATGAGCTTGCGAAGCCGCCCAAATGATCGTCCGTACGTTGTGCCGACTTCTTCGGAGGCCCAGCCGTGGGTGAATCGGGAGGTTTGACGAGGACTGGACAAGTGGCAGTCCGTTAAGGACTCTTCCCCCCACCCCCCTTCCTCTCTCCGTCTCCAGCCCTCGACGTGCGTGCAAAGGGATCGATGAGTTTGAAGTGTTTAGCGCGACGCGGTGGTTACCGTGGGAGCCAGCTGAGTCGGAATATAAATAACCGGCGACAAGAATTCGCCGCCAACAGAAATGGTATTCGATGCAACAGCTATGTTATGGGGCTCTTTTTTTGGCCGGTATCAAAGTATGAAAACACAAATGATAGGTCAACGAAGTGGCTTATCATGACGTGGACATTTATAGCAGCCAAATACTCTCTAAACGCATGTCGATTCTAAATCTGGAGGGAAAAACCGGACGACCCTGAGAATAATCCACACGACCACGGGAGAGAGACACGCAAACTCCAAATATACAGCAGGCGTCAGGGTTGGGATCCAACCCACGACCTCCTGTATACCAGGCGAAGTAATTAACATCTCACCACATCATCAGTGTGAGGGCCGCCACCCATTTGAAACCATTGGGGTTTGAGGGTACCACGATGATGGGGGGTATTTTCACATTTGTGTATTTTCGGGGCCGCACGTCCAGGGGGTCGCACTAAAAGCCACCCCGGGGGCCGCCAGTGGCCCTGCAGGCCTTGCAATGAAGAACGCTGGCGCTGGAGGTGTCGTCACCGGGACAGAGGCATTCTAAGAATAAATGTTACCTTGTTCAACGAACTCACTAGGCTCTAGCGGTGGTGCAATGTTGATGATGAAAAAAGAAGAACGTAATCAACCAGGCAGGGTGTTGACTGTTATGTTATCCGACTCTCTGTTGTATTACATTACATTTCTAAGTATACTAGATTTGTGTTTCTATTTAATTTATACTTGATGATGAATGCTTGTGTTGCAATCGAAACGTCGTATGCTAGTATTTAATTTAATTGATCATTTTATCTTTATACGTGACTTTACCGAAAGAACCAAAGAATGATGGTGATGATGGTTTACGCTCCTTGACAAGACTGGGGGGGGGGGGGGGGGGGGGCCCGGTGCGCCTCCGGTTGCCTCGTTACCTCTCGGCGAGGCCGCTCCAAGGGACCGCTCCGCTCGGACGACGTCTCGGGCCCGGCGTTTCCCTCCGCCCCGTCCCCGGCGGCCCCCCGCGCCTCTCCAGGAAGCTGCCGTCCAGCAGGGAGGGCCCCCCGCTGTCGTCCGAGGACAGCTCGTCGTTCGTCGAGACCTCCCCGCGCTCGTCACCTGGAACATTGCGGAGTTTTAGGGCGCAGATCCAGCCCGCCTTCTTCAAACCGAGCCCAGTGTGCGCGCGAAGTTAAAACCCCGTACTTTGGTTGTTGCTGTTGTTGTTTGGTTGTTGTTGTCGTGTCTGCCGGGCGGCGCATTGTAAAGAGGTCAGCGGGGGCAGTACACCTCACCATCAAACTAAGACTAAATAATGTTTTATTTCACCAGGTAAGGCCCAATGAGCAATCTAGCTCCTTTTCAGAAGCGACCTGGCCACAATGATAGCTCAACAAAGTGGCTTATCGCGTGGAAATGTATAGCAGCGAAATACTCTAAACGCATGTTGATTCTAAATGTGGAGGGGAAAACCGGAGGTGCTGGAGGAAATCCACAAGACCACGAGACGTCAGGGTCGAGATCAAACCCAAGACGTCCTGTATACCCGGCGAGGTAGTTAACATCTCGCCACCATCAGGGTTGCCACCTGCCTTGGTTTTATCAGAACGTCGCCTTTTTGAGGTGGCCATCCTCAGAAATCTGCAAGTCTTCGTGGGACATAACAAGTCCCGGCTTGTGTCCGCAGCCTAATAATGAATCATTCAAAACAACGCTTTTAACCTGAAGCCATGCCCTCTTTCTTGGCATTTCGAGTAATATCTATTTCCGGAGGTGGCAACCGAACGCACCGTCCCTGTGCAGGCCGTGGCTGAAGAGGGAGCGCACGTGCTCCGTGCGGACAGACTCCAGGTCGCTCTCCACCGTCACTTCGTCGAAGCTGCGCAAGGGTACGCCTGGATGCGAAGACAAATGACTCCTGTCAAGACACGCAGACACTTGGGCCAAGTGCTGTGAGGTGAGCACCTGGGCATGCAGAGAAATGGGAAAAAATAGGCTCATGTCGCCGTACAGAGTCTGTGAGGGCAAGTGCTGCGAGCGAACGCCTATTAAGGCCTGAGAGGTGTGTGAGAGAATGGTGGGCCAGCACCCCATCTTTGTTTCCCCAATGCTCACCGAAGGCTGAATTGACTCTGGTCAGGAATCAAACTCAGGTCGCTGTGTTCGTCGAGCAGTGCAGTAACCAATGCGCCACAGCTCCACGTACACATGCATACACTATAAACGCAATTTTTATTTTTATTTTACCAGGTACAGCCCACTGAGCTGTATAGCCTTTTTTTCAGAAGCGACCTGGCCACATATGATAGCTCAACGAAGTGGCTTATCACGTGGAAACTTATCGCAGTCAAATACAAACAAGGGGTTTGAAATATATATTGAATAACTGCGTAGGTGCGTGAACTTATCGCACGTGTAAGTTTCTCCAATGTGGAGCAGCCTTTACCAGCGAGCATGCGGGGCAGGCTACCGGCCATCTCCTTGTTGCTCCCACGAGACATCTGGGCCTCCCAGCTCTCCCAGGAAGCCCCCGGCACCGACGTTTTCTCGGCAACCATCGCCGCCGTCCGACGCTCGCCAAATCCGGGCCGGCCTCCCTGAGCGCCATCCTCCCACAGGGCAGACGCCCGGCTCGGTGGGCCCCTGCCACAGCCGGCGACGCCAGAAAGGATGCGCGAGAAATCTGGCTCCTTTTGGGATGGCGAAGAAGAGGCCGTGACCTCAAGTCGAGTGCCGGTGAGCTGGCCCAATTTTGTTCTGGCAGTCGGGGAGGGAAGGTTCGGCGTGGGAGTGCCACTCAAGCCGCCGCCACCGCCGCCCCTGCCAGCAGGGCCGTGTCGGCCTTGCTGGTCCACGGAGAAGCTGTGGCCGGTCGGCTTCGTGCCACTCACCGCATCGTGCGTGGCGGATGGAATCGTGGGCGCGGCGTGTGGATTTGTAGATGCTAACATACTGCTGTCTTTGTTCCTGTTTCGATTCGGGGAAGACACCGGCACATTTACCATCAGAGGCGTGCATCGGCTACCAGCCGTCAACCCTTCTGGTGATTTTGAAAATTGCTGCTTATCTTCACTGCCCTCCTTGCTGTGCATCTCCACCATGGAGAGGTTGCTCACAGCAGTCTGTAAACTCCACCGCCCGTCACTGCTCGATTCAACGGGAGGACCAGGAGCCTCCGACGAGGAGAGGTTGCTGCGGCTTTTGGCCCGAATCTGGCTTCCCAGCGAGTTCCTTCTCTCCGGGTGAAAATCCTCGGGCAGTTTTACTTCCTGCCGCTTGGGACGAGCCCTTTTCTTTCACATTAGCGGGGGAGCTCTGCTTCGTCAAACCTTCCCTCTCACGAACGATCACCTCCTCGAGGTCGTTCGCGAGGTCGTGCCTGAATTTCTGAACGAACGTCATGCCCATGCCCCTACGAGCGTCGGCTCGTGACGCGCTCGTCTCTCCGTCTCTACTCCGACGTGAGATGTCGCGGGGAAGGACGTCGCCCGAGTCAGCGGCCGCCCCCAAATCCGGCGGTGGCTCGGCGAGCTCGTCTCCGACGGGCACGGCCGAGGATCGAGCGGCTCCACGGGGCCGGATCAGCTCCTCCGTGCAAACCGAGGAGGCGTAGGCACCGTCGCTGTGAGCACCGTCTTGCAGGGACGGCGAGGGCGAGCGCGAGGCAGCGCCGGCGCCACCGTCCGCCTGCGCACAAACAAAAAACACTTCAGCGGACGCGTCGCGCGAAGTTTCACCGACGCACAGTTTAGCGCTTCTGCGCTTTGAGATGCCAAGGCTTTGTATGCCCGATGAATGACGGTTCTCACGCTTGCCTTGATGACAGCACTCCCCTCTGCAACCCTCACCTGTCTGTTGGGAATTCCCAGCAGCTGCTGGACCCTCCACGTGTACTCCTCGGCCCGGGCAGCCTGCACTGGGTCCTGAATTCCTGCCACCGCCTCCCGTGTTGGGGCCCGCATTTGGGAAAAGGCTGGCAGGGGGAAATCAAACAAAAGCGGCAATAATACGTGAAACGTTGCCACCTTCCACTTTAGAGAGAAGTGTCGTCAAGAAAGGGCTTTGAAGTCAAAATGACGGCACGCCGCGGTGGCGAGATGTTAACTACCTCGCCTGGTATTCAGGAGATTGGGGTATCGATCCCGACCCTGATGCCCGTATATTTGGAGTTTGCGTGTTTTTTTTTTCTCCGGGTCCTCCGGTTGTTCCCTCCACATTAATTATTTGCCTGATATACATTTCCACATGATCAGCCACTTCATTGAGCTATCATTTGTGGCCAGACCACTTCTGAAAAATAAGCTAATAGCTCAGTGGGCTTTACCTGGTAAAATAAAAAATAGCATTTCGTTTTATTTTTATTGTTTTGTCACAAGCTTACTTTTCCTATACTTTGCACTCCTATCGTGTTTTTGTAGAGTTATAACTTTCTGACATGCCCCGACTGCATATCTGTGACAAAAAGAGCTTTATCGCTCATTGGATCTCTCCAGCATAGAGACATATTCTGATTCTATTTGGCCGTTCACGTGGGTTTTGAGCGTTTCGAGTAACGCAAGCATCCCAGTGGGAATGGCTACCAGGGTTATGGTGTGTACTGGATGCACGCCAATCCTTCACGCGTGTCACGTTTGAAAATTGGCTTTGCAAAAAAAAGCACATTCGTTATGACGAGGGCTGCTGAATGCGAGCTACGAGAAAGCGGGACATTTTATAGGAAGAAGCAGAAGAGGAATATCTCACAATACCGGAAGAGGGGAGAGCCGCATGTAAATGTATTGTCTTGAGCGGTGTGCTACTAGGCAAATGACGAAAACCGGGACTTTTAATATCTCGGAAAAACTCAGAGGTCCTGGGAAAACCAGGACAGGTGGAAACTCTAGTTATGTTTATCTCACCTGGATATTAAATTAATATGATGACACTGACTGTGTGATGCACACGACAAGTCGTGGACTTTCCGTAAGCTACGAACGGCAGAGGGTTCACCACTGGCACACTGATTTCAATTCATTGTAAGAATATTGTTACGAAAAATAATATAGCACCGCGAGCCTTTCGGCACGATGTCCGACGTTTCGCTCTGCGTACTTGGAGCCACTTCAGAAGCAGTAGATCTTTAACACTACAACTATCATCATGATTATCATCACAACCGTGTTATCGCCACCGTGAAAGGCTTACCCGCAGAATCACGAGCCTGCTTGCAGCCTGCATTCCGCTCTTCACCCACTTCCACAATCTCTATTTGTCCTTTGCTCTGGGGGGCAGCTCTGTCGGGGTCAGAGGTCAGTGTGTCGTCTGGGGTGCTGCCCCCACCACCCAGGCCCGTGTCGCGGCTCCCCGTGTCGCTCTGGCCGGCGCTGCCTGCTCGCACGCAGGGAAGGATGGATGGGTGCACAGTCAGAATCATCAGAATGATCAGAATATTTATTTATGACTGCAAGAGGAATCCGATGGGCTGTGAAGCTCTTTTTCCCACAGATGGTCCAGTAAGGGGGCACGGGGTCAGAACGTCACAACGACAAACGATACAAACAACACGACGGGAGTGCGAAGTATAAGAAAGGTAAACCAATCACTAAAAAGATATATACAAATGAAACTCAAATGTGTATTTATCTTATCAGGTAAAGCCCACTGAGCTATTTGCTTCTTTTTCAGAAGCAGACCTGGCCACAAATGATTGCCGAAGAGCATCCAGATACGTGTCCTCCCCGAGACCACTAAATCTTTCTTAACAGTTTGAATGGTGTAATTATCCTACAAACATTCTCCTAATCCACATGTTACAAATATAGCATGTTCAGTTATAGACAATTAATGTTAGAAATGTTATTTTATTACCTTGCTCTAGTTATTTGGTATTATACTACAAATAATTTCCACTGAAAAAGTTCTTTCCAAAGGCATGCATTTTTGTGTTCATATTTTAACAAATTACATGGCGATGCTGTGTTGTTGGCAATGGTGCAATAGCACAGATAACAAAAACCTCGACATGTTCGACAAAAAACACTGCCGTCAAAGGACAAAACATATTTAGGTGACTTTTCGGGCAATGGTTCTTCTTCATAGCATGGCGTAAGAAAGGCCAAGGCCTGATACGTGAACGATTGTACATTTTCCTATTCATATTAATTTCGTTTCAATCCAAGGGTGAACCTCGCAGTTAAATATTTTAGGTGAATCCATCTATGTAGAGGATACAAAACGATGGTCCAAATCTGCTTCATGTCTGTATCAGTCAGGGACATGTGGGGGCGGGGGGGAGGTTGGGGGGGGGCACACACAGGCCGCGACCGGGAGATGAACGAACGTGGAAACGTCTCGGTGATTGAATGCACAAAATCTCGAGCAACTCAAATAAACAACCAACCATAGTGAGAGGGCGGACTGTACGTTCACAGCTCAATGATTTTGAAAGGTTGAACAGATTTGCTTTCACTCAGGACACAATGAAATGCCGTTGTGACATTGTGAAAATAATAATAGTTTTTTCAAATATTATTTATTTCTTAAAACCAGCCCTCCCGCAAAACTCGCTGGACACGTGGGCGTGCTTTGGCTGACCTGCCGTCTCTGCCGAGTCGAAGCCAGTCTTCGCTGTCGTCTCCTCCTCCTTCTTGGTTGAGCTTCCACTCTTAAAAACAAAGGCCAAAGTGTGGGTTTACAACACAAAATCCCATTCTGTAACAAAATGCACAGTTCTTTGAGAGAACTTCAAAAAGGCACGAAGCTCGCTGTAGCAGTCAATGTCTGCCAATGACTGTTAATAACATTATTATTATTGTAGCAATTAAGATGAGCGTAGGATGATAATATGTAATGATATATATGCTCCAAAGAATAACAACGTAATTCATGATGATTGAAAAGATCAAAGACAACGGTGATGATGATGAGGATAATGATGAGGATGATGATGACAATGCTGATGTAGAGGATGATGATGATGAGAACAATGACGATGATTGCAATGTTGATGTAGAGGACAATGATGAGGATGGTGGTGATGAGGAGAATGATGATGATGGCAATGTTGTTGTCCTTCCCCCGCACCTCCGATTAGCACGGTTAGGCTAAGTACGGTGCGATAGAAGTTCAACGTACATACACTGTTGATGTCGAGGACAATGGTGAGGATTGTGATGATGATAATGATGACAATGATGATGGCAATGGAGATGTAGAGGACAATCATGAGGAGGGTGATGATGAGTACAATGGCGGTGATGGTAATGCCGATGTAGAAGACAATGGTGAGGATTGCGATGGTGACGACGACGACGACGATCGCGACGAGCCACCTTCAGGCCCCGCAGCACAGCGTCGATGGAGTCCAGCAGGAGGTCGCACTGATCCTTCATGACCCCCCGGGGTGTCCCCACGTCCAGCTCTGTGGTCGAGTCGTGGAGACGCAAGCACAGCGTGGCACACAACGATCTCCCGAGCCAAGTGGCTCCCCGTCCCGCGTGGCCACAGGCCCCGAAGCCTGCCGCAGAGCTACGTCCGAGATGCCCTCAAGCGACATCTCGTCCACAAGCCGAGAGCAGAGGCATATTGAACGATACGGACTTTTTTTTGCGTAATCGTTGCAAGTCCTCTGAACCTGGCCGTATGTTTTTTCTTCTTCTTATTCAAAATGTGTGTTCGCTTTCTACGTGATTTGAAGCTTTCGTGACTGCAGGAATCCATACTGTTTAACACGTAGGCTTTCGCGACCAATATTATTCATAATCAACGTTTTTGGGTTTAGACCGGGAGCCAGAGCAGAGCCTCACCATTCTAGGCGAATTGCCCGATGATGCTGGATGCAATTACCAGCGAAACGTCGTACTCAAAAATTGTAAATGTTGTGGTTTCACGCTTCAACACACCGGTGGGCTAAAGCAGTGAACTATTTGTCCTTTGTCAACGTGACACTTTTTTTGCTGATTGGCTGTGTCGGGTGGTGGAGGGTTACGACACATTTATAAATAACGCGATCTAAACCCAAAAACGTTGATTATGAAGGAATCCATACTCTTTGGTTCTTTCGATAAAGTCACGTAGGTAGAAAATAAAATAGTCACGACGTTTCGGGCGTAACAAGCGTCCCAACTGATGACGGATGCTTGTGTTGCGCCCGAAACGTCGTGATTTATTTTATTTTTAAAGGTTTGCCCCGTAAAACCTTGCGAGGGGGGAGATGGGGTGAGAGTGAACTTAGTGGACCCTGTCCTTCTGTCTGTAACCTACCCAATGATCACCAGGGAACAACTATTCACGAGATGTCCCCCACCCCCCAGATTCCACCTCGTGGCTGAGCCCCCTGGCGTCGTGGGGGGGGGGGGGACCCCCTCACCTGCATCCAGGAGTTCGTCCGTGTCGTTCATTCCCAGGTCACTCCCGTCCGTCGCCCCCGCGTCATCCATTGCACCCGCTGCGACGGTGCCTGTGAAGAACTTACGAAAACAACAACAACAACAAACTAGAATGCAAAGCCCTTTGTCAAACTCTTTGGGACCTTTATATTTTGTGTAGCCAGTATCAAGATGATGAAAGAACACCAACAAAAAGAACAGGCTTTTACTCTTCCCGGCAAGAATACAGGGCGTTGCGATATTCACTTGATATCTTGTAAGCGGTGCCTTGGTGGTGTTTAAACATCTTAACGGTATTCTTTTCGGAGTGGGCTAATGCCTATTCGTTTTTTCCCCCTCATTGGTCGTAACTTCACCGCGCTGTACTCAGGTAGCCGGGGGTTCATAGTGCAGCTTTGTGAACCTCTGCCCCATCGCCGCTCGCTCAGAAACCCACCATGGTTAACGCTTCGTTATCATGGCTAAATGCTAATGACGTTGGCTACTGAGATAGTCTTGAGCATGGGATGTCACACTACGCTGGCAGGTACCATCGCGAGACGCGCACATCACCGGGAGATCGCTCGTTCCAGGATACGATCCGCAGATTATCGCTAACAGCGATCCTACTCCAGATCGACATGCGCTGTGCAGAAATACGGGTGATCGATGGCGCAGGTACAGGTAATCAATTGTTACTCGGCCAAATGAGGCAATCCATGAGTGATGTGAAGAGGGTTAGCATTGAGCTCAGCTTCCAGCTCAGAACGACGCTGTTTGATGGACACTGTGCCAAGATGATAGGCAAAAGCAGTCATTAAAATCAAACAAGACAGGGCGTCAATGAAAGTATATTCAGTAATTAAAGCATTATAATTGGAATGTGATCGGAGATAGATCCATAAACCTACACACACACACTTGGTAGCATGAAGAGTCTATCGTATTAGATTCACTCCCATGAACCTCCACGTAGCCCCTCCCCCCATACACACACGGCATGAAGAGACCTTCATCCAGCAGTGGATTGACAAACGGGCTGTACACGTGTACACACAAACCTGCACACATCCCATCATCATCATCGTCGTCGCTGGTGTGCGATCGTTTCAAACGCTGATACTTATTTTCGGCTGTTGTGTTTCATTCAATACGGAATGTATCGCAAACATTTCGACCACCTGCACGTCTAATTATAAATTATAATTAAAACTGCTGTCGATTTACGCATTCAATAATACCATATTAAATCAGCCCGTGTATGTACGTAACTGGATGATGAACTTCGTTCGCACCGTACGTAACCAACCGTGCGAATTGGCGGTGCGGGCTCTTGGTGGATTATTACATGACAGGATTGTGATGAGATGGCGATGGGTTGGGGGGAAGAGGCCTCCATCCATCCAGCAGTGGATTGATCATGGCTGACGACAACGACGACGTTGATGATGATGATGACATTTATACCGTGCCAGATTTTGCAGACAGGTCAACAACTCAGAGGCGCAGAGCCAAGCTCCGGGCTGCTCGAAAGCCCTTTAGATGTTTCTTAAAAGTCAGAGTGCATCTGATGTTGCGGATTTGCAAATGGATAGAGGAACGAATGATAATTTGATGGACCCGCTGTGTATCTTCTCTGCATGTGTGCAAATATCAGTGAACATAATCGCGTCTGCAAAACTCCCTGTAACGTGGCCATAACAAATATGAAAGGAACACGCAATAAAAACGTAGGGTGCACAGCAAGCGTGCATTATCATCGCCTCTATAACGTCTGTCCAAACTCTGTAAAAAAAAAATAAAACATCCACTACTGTTCCATTAAAACTTAGACTGGAGCTTACCCTTACATTTGTCTGACACATTCCCAATGATCAACATATTCGTGCCATTGTTTCGTCTCTCCTTTTCAACAACGCACACGCAACTTTTGTCTCCAAACGAGCGAAAGAAAGAAAATACATCGTGGAAATTAAACCCTCGTAAAATACTGCGCCCGGTTCCCCGGTGGCTTTTGTGTAACTCTCTTCCCTCTTGTCCCGAGATGTCTCCCAGGCGACGCGGAGGCTCTCGCGGACTCGGTGCCCTGAGCTTGAAGGCAAACTAACCTCACCGACGGTGGCAGGGGGACCTGCGGTCAGCTTGTCGCGGCTGTGCGGCAGTCGCGATTGGCTCTTCTGTCTCATTATAGGGGCCCGTGCATTTAGTATTTTAGTAGGTACGCCAAATAAAATCTGTCAAAACTTGACCCCCCCTCCCTGTTACTTTTTACACCACACCCACCACCTCCGAATCCTATAGAACGGCCAATTTTTAATCCAAGCAGAAACGACCAATGATTAATAATATTAACGTGTTTAAGCAAACAGAAAGTCCACCGCCGGCTGCATTAAATAATGAAGTTTCGTACCTTGGCCACTTATTTTGCTGAGCTGCGTGATAGCTGCAGTCAGGGGCACGGTGGCACACGAGTGACACCTCTCCCACAGTCCCACTTCTCCCGCTAGTACTTATAGTCTCACAGCTGAAGACACTGAACTATCGCTCATTTGAAGGCCAATGTCGACAAATCATTATCGAGGCTTCACCCCCCTCCCTGTCCCCCCTCCGTGCGTACGTGCTAAATGGACGGCCCCCTAATAGCACGGTTAGTTACGTACGGCGCGAAGGAAGTTCAACATGCAACAAAGACAAATATACCCCGTATAGCCTTAACAGACTGTTGGGGCAAGTGCAAGTTGGTGAGCCACCTGTGAAGGCCGGCACGGCACACGAGGGGATGGTGGGTGACCAGCACCACGCCCGGCCGCTTTTGTCTCCCCAGTGGCGATGTTTCCTGCACGCCACTGCACCAGATACACATTTGAGGCTGAGTTCGACCTAGGGGAGGGCCCAGCACCGGTTCGCACTTTGAACTTCTTTCGCACACCGCACGTAGCCGGGCGGACAACGAACTAAACACAACAAGCAACTTGGAAAGAAATTAGTTTTTTAAAAGCGTTAAAGAAAACTCCGGCCCACGGTTTGTGCATCGCTCGGTTGTTGTTTTTTTTATCGAGGGGGATTTTTTAATATTTTAATTGGTGCACAGCGTCAACAAGCCGATCGCTCAGCACACATGGGGGGGGGGGGGTGGTGGTGGCTTGTTTAATGAGTGTAAGGGCTGCCCCGGGGTTTGTGGCGGTTAAAAAGGTGGGAATAGCTTGCCAACACCACCTTTTGACCAATAGCGTACTACGTCCTGACCTCGTCCTTCAAACCTTAACCATCTTTGCCCTTCCTAACATAACCCCTCCATTTCCCTATCGCCAACCCTTCCTTACCATTCCATCCACTACCCAACACTCAAATCCCATCAATTTCCCCCATCAGCCAATAACTAGTGTAGCATTTTTTTTATTGTTGACAAACGCTGATGATAAGATAAGACGTGTTTGCTGGCTTATGCCTCAATCAACACCGTCAAAGAAATGCACCTGGTGTGTGACGAAGCCCATTCCGGAAGATATTTGGGGTTTAACGCACCACTTTCTCCGGTTCAGAAAACAGCGGCATGAATTTCCTTTGGTATGGGAAAAAATAAACCATTGCGAAATATTACAATGCAGCACTGTCACACGGCACGTGGTGACGTGAAGGAATGCAATCCGTTCGTAATTACAATTCAACAATGTGCAACGCTTTTGTCATTCCACCGCTTGATGAAAAGCCACCCCACGCTGTATCCGTCATCATGGCGGTTGTTTGACCATACTTCACCACGCTGGCAAAGGGGGTTGCATGCCTGTCAAACCCGTATCAGTGCCGACCTTATTACAGACCAATTCAGACCTTATTGGTCACCCCGTGCTCTTAATAGATCTCAACGTTCATCCTACAAAGTCCCATCACAAGGGAGAAACACAAACAATTCTTGACTTAAAGCTTTCGTGACTGCGGGAATTCATATTCTTTGGGTCTATCGGTACAGTCAAGTTGATAGGCTCAAAGAAAATAACAACAAACTACGTTTCGATCGCAACACAGGCGGTCGTCTTCAGGAAGAAAAAAATCAACAACGAATTTTTTTTTATACTCTTAGAAATTGTACGCCGTATGGACCTGAAAACTCAATGTCCTTGAACAAGAATACGGGGTAAACCGTATGGGTTGACAGCTTTGGGGTTGAGCTGATGTTACGTCGTGGGGCCGGGTTTGTAGTTCAGAGCACGAACCACTGCGCCACCCTTCCACCCTGGGCTGAGTATCATCGCATCTCCGATAAGCACGGTTGGCTACGTACGGTGCGAAAGAAGTCCAACATACATGCAGACTATACACAGTGCGTACAGGTGAACTTAGTGTCTGAGAAAGTGGTCATTGCGAGTTATGGGAAGCGCTAGTGTAGTGGTTACTCCGTTGCACTATGAACCTAGATACTGGGCCCTCCCCTAGGTCGACTCAGCCTCGAATGAGTACCTGGCGCAGTGTGCAAACATCGCCACTAGGGAGACAAAGGCGGCTTGGCATGGTGCTAGCCACTAACCCACTTCGTGTGCCGTGCCGGCTTTCATAGGTGGCTCGCTAACAGCACTTGCCCCAATAGTTTGTTAAGGCTGTACGGGGAATCTTTGCCTTTTATTAAGGGTGTTTCATGACCGTTTACGTTGGCAATAGAGCTCGGTTTTACGTCGTGGAATATGGGAACTTAGTGGCAGCGTTGACCACTACTCGGCGATATATTACGACCCTTTAAACTGGACGAGTGTGCGTGTGTGTGTTTTTAACAGCTAAATATCTCGATAAGATACAAACTGCGGTCAACACAGTGGGGAGCGGTGGTGTAGCGGTTAGCGCGCTGCGCTATGAACCCGGCGACCCGGGTTCGATTCCCGCTCACGGCCAACACCAGTGACGATTATCTGAACCGGTCCTGGGCCTCCCCTAGGTCGACTCAGCCTGAAACGAGTACCTGGTGCGGTGTGTAAACATCGCCACTGGGGAGACAAAGGCGGTCGGGCGTGGTGCTGGCCCACCCACCCCCTCGTGTACCGTTCTGGCCTTCATAGGTGCTCGCTAACAGCACTTGCCCCTACAGTCTGTTAAGGCTATACGGGGGATATTTGTCTTTTGTCTTTAACAACTGAATATCTCGATAAGCTCTGCGTACATTTGTAAATGTCACAAAAGTTCAGATGTAAAACGAGCTGATGCTGCTGCATTGGCAGCGGTGAACTCAACAACATCATATGTCGATGACGCATTGGCTTTAATAGGAAAACACAACAGGCAACGCTATATGGGAAATGGCCCTTCTCTCGGGGTTAGGATCGGCACCATGAAGAAGGCCCCTTGCCCAGAACGTCGCCAATTGCGTGCCTTCCTTTTTAAGGCGGCGGGTGTTATTGATGAACGCAGCGAGTGGTGTTTATGCGCATATTTAATAAGCAATTAGAACAACCAAGCGTGGAGTTTGGTGTTCAAAGTCAAAATGGTAAATGCCCCATTTCCAGTTGGCAAGTGTACAACATCCGTGCATTGGTTTCGTGCTCTTGGCGATCATCAGTAATCCGTGGTACATTGTCGCTGCCATGACTGCGGTACTGATACAAGGCGTGTGTGCGTGTGTGTGTAATACATTTGACCAGACGAGACGGGTTACCAACGCAGGCCTATTTTCCACTCACAATCAATAATCGACTGCTATTTTATCCACCCCACTGTTCAATAACACGAAATCCCTCCGCGTCTCGGATTAGCACGGTTGGCTACGTACGGCGCGAAAGAAGTTCAACGTACATACATACTCCCCCTACTTTCGCTCGTAGGAATTGCCTCACCATACTTCACCACGCCGGTTCAGATACATTCCTGGGCAGTGCGCTCACCACTGCGCCACCGCTCCACCACGGCACACACACACATATTTAGCATAGACTACATTTGCTTTAAACAAATATCTCTCGCGTGCTGTAAGACTCCCGTAGACTTTGTAACTTACACAGCGACCAACTTCATAGCTGTCAACCCCTTATTACCATGTCCTCCCTTATTACAGACCAATTCAAACTTTTATTGCTCACCCCGTGCCCTTATAAATCTCAACGTTCATCCTATAAAGTCCCATCACAAGGGAGAAACACAAACAAATAGACAACAACAAAAAATGTTGCCCGCATTTAAACGGCTCAATTTCCCTGTAAAAGAATACGGGGTAAACCTCGTGGGTTGACAGGTACACAACTTGCACGAGAAGACATACATCTGTTGCAGGGGCTGTAGTCTTGTAAACGCATCACGACTCGAACAACACAAAAAACTGTTCCCGTGGTGGTCACACCAAATACAAACTTCCCTTTAAAGAGTTCCCTCTCGGTCCGAGGTGTTTCTTATTTCCACCCATCGTCGTCGTAGTGCATTAGGCACGGCCTCATTATATAAAACGTGAGAGATGCATCGGTTAAATTTCGATTTAAAGCTTTCGTGACTGCAGGGATTAATCTTCTTGGTTCTTTCGGTAAAGTCACGTAGAAGGGAAGTAATAAAATAATAAAAATAAAACATAATATTTTAATTATTTTTCGTGACTGCTTCTCACTGGTTGCTTTCGGAATCAGTAAAGGAAGAAGTTAACATAACTCGTTTTATTGTTCCCTCACGAACCGCAGAGAACGGAAGAAGTGTCGGTTTTGGTTCCCGAGCGAGCGAGTTGCCTGACCCGCAGAAGAGAGGAGAGAGAGAGGAGAGATGAGAGGAGAGAGAGAGACACACACACACACGAGATTTGACAAGTGACTCAACGAAGTTTTGGTGGTGGTTCGTGAAAACTCACCGCGCACTCAGAGACGAGTCAAGAGAGGCTGACGGGAGAGTGGCACTGGCGTCAGATCCGCCTAATCGATGATTTTTTTAAAAACAATGGCACACGACAAAAAAAACACACACACACACGCACAGCCACGAGCGATGAGGCTGTTGAACTCAGTTGCGGCTTCGTCCGAGTCCACCAGTTGCTCGTGGCTGTCATCGAGGACTGCTTTTCGTTGCTCTCTAGGGGGTGGTTGGTTGGGTGGGTGGTGGTTGTGCGCAAAGTTCGCGAGACGCGACAACCTCAGGAGGGAAAAAAACGCCGCTTGCCACAGTTGCCCCTAGTTACTCATTCTTCCGGGCCAAACGAGAAAGCACACACACACCCCGCCTCTCCTCCCTGCACCTCGCATCATCGCCAACCCCCTCTCTCCATCATCACCATCACCTCCTCTTTCCACCATCATCATTACCGTCTCTTTCCACCATCATCATAATCACCACCATCTCCTCTTTCCACCATCATTATCATCACCACCATCATCATCTCCTCATTTCCACCATCATTATCATCATCACCACCATCTCCTCTTTCCACCATCATTATCATCACCATCATCACCACCATCTCCTCTTTCCACCATCATTATCATCACTGTCTCTTTCCACCATCATTATCATCACCACCATCATTACCGTCTCTTTCCACCATCATTATCATCACCATCATCATCACCGTCTCTTTCCACCATCATTATCATCACCACCATCATTACCGTCTCTTTCCACCATCATTATCATCACCAACATCACCACCAGTGCTTTCACCACCATCACCTACTTTTTCCACCATCACACTTAGCACCATCACCGCCATCACCTCCTCTTTCCGCCATCGCATCACCTCTTCTCTCCACTACCACCACGAGCATGATCTGTCAACCATCACCACCATCAATCACCTCCTCCTCTTATTACCACCGCCACCACCACCATCCCCGCCTCCAAGTCACAATCCTCCAGACGAGTGACCCCCAGCAGCAAGCGGCCTGAGCACGCGGAGATGCGTGCAAGACGCAGAGAGGATGCAGAGGGGGCGAGAGGGAATGAGAGGGGGGTGAGGAGTTGGTTGCGTAGGGGGTGGGGGAATCGGAGAAGCGTCGCTCGGGGGTGGGTGGGGTGGACACTGGGACCCCTGTCTGGATAGGGGGGGGGGGGACCCCTGTCTGGATAGTGGGGGGGGGGGACCCCGCAAAAGCTTCGCGCCGACACGGCTCATTTGCCGCTAAAAGGCCGCTCCCCCCCCCCACCAGTGACGAATGCCGCTGTGTCCACAGCCGCCTTCAGCAGCAGTAGCAGCAACAACAATAACGGGCGGCCAACATCGTAGCCACCGTAGCAGCAGCAGCAGCGGCGGCGGCGGCTACGATGTGCGACAACCGCGGCGTGCCCGCTCCTGCCGTGACGCCGGGATGATTCAACCCCCCCCCCCCCCCCCCCCCCGGGCGAACGGGCAGGCTCAGAGTTTGCCTGCCTGAGAAAAAAAGAAATAAATTAACCCGTAAAAACAAAGTTTTTCACTCTAAATCCTTTATATGCGTGGCGGCTAGAGTCCTCTCGTCCTCTGGCTTGAGATGGCTGCCACCTATGGGTCAGATGATTGTCTGCCAGCATTAAGCAATTGGTAATTAAATATTTTAAAAAATTCCCTAAAGAGTGTAAAATTTTGGAAAAAATTTTCACGAAAATTTATTGTCACGCACAACGAGTCTGTGTGGAAAATGTCAGCTCGATTGGATCACGGGAAGTGGGTTAAAAAACGACCGAAAGATTTGCACGGTCGTAAGCAAGCAAGCACGCAAGCAAGTGAACTCAATATAAAGGATTTAAAAAGAGAACGAGAGAGAATTCCAGAATCTTGATTTGAAGCTTTCGTGAATGCAGGAATCCGTACTCTTTGGTTATTTCGGTAAAGTCACGTAGGTATAAAATACAAATATAACAGGTAAAGTCTACGTGACTTTACCGAAAAAACCTAAGAATATGAATTCTTGCGGTCACGAAAGCTTCAAATCTAAAATAAAAATATATTATTTCTATTTTAAATAATATAATTATTTTCTTTTATAATAATTTTTATTTTATAATACTTTTTATTTTATACCTCCGTGACTTTACCGAAAGAACCAAAGAGTATAGAATTCCAGAAACTTGTGGCCATTGGGCCGATGGGATGTGATGTGCTTATGTTCTACAAAATGACGGTACTGATGAATTATTTTGTTTCATTTGTGAAATTGCTTCGCGCAGAAACCGGAGCAGCGCTCTTGCCTATCCACATCTGGCAGATCACCGACTTTAATTAAAGCAAGTCTTGACTCTTCTGATGAGAGTTAATGATGTATTCATGCACGTGTGTCGATCATTAACATGCAAGCAGTTGGAAACATACTCACACGTCTAGCCAGAGACTACATTTTAGCCCGGTCTGTGCCAGTGGTCGATCCGGGAAATATTCTCATAAGGGTTTCGCTCATAAGGGTTCGATGAGGCTTATGAGCGAAAACATCTGCGCTATGCCGATCTAGCTGCTGAAGCACGGCATCATGGCTGGAACACAGAAGTCCGACCAGTGGAGGTGGGCTGCAGAGGTTTTGTGGCAACATCTACAACCAGACTGCTTAGAGACCTGGGAATTAAGGGCCAGAGCCAGCGTTCGGCAATCAGAGCTGTATCGGAGGCGGCAGCTGGGCCCCAAAGTGAGAGGGCCAGGAGGTATGCAGTCAACAATGCTTGACTCAGGGATGAGGACGCCCCTGCCATGCATAGTCCCATGGGATGTTGGCTATCAACAACAAGGCAACTCTTATGACTAATTGGGAATGGGAGGCAAGCGTAGGATTGATCACCCTGTCGCTGGCCGCCTTTGGGGAGGGTGTATAGTATGAAAGGCCGAAACACCCTAGGACCCAAAGGTTCACTACTGACGATGCGCTCCCCAAATTTCACCAGGCTCACTGTTCATGAACTCTTGGAAGTGCTTGCACAAAGGATAATAACATCTCATCCTGTGTTCTTTGGAATCTGCACCCGGCACACCACTTCCAATAGGCGCATTAATAGCCACAACCAATCGCCACAGCTTGTGGCTACTCGGGATGGGAAAGGACACATCGATAAATCGGTAACATTCTAAGATTTGTTTCCGATGCGTCGATATTTTGACATCGATGATGATCCCTTCGATAATATCGGGAACAACGATGGTTTGTGTTGTTCACGACAGACGTAAAGGTGAAAAGAAAACAGGTTTGAAACTAAAATTTTGATTGAAACCTTTCGTGACTGCAGGGATGCATATTCTTGGTTCTTTCGGTAAAGTCACGTAGAAGGGAAATAATAAAATAATAAAAATATAAAACAATAAATTTCTCACGAAGTTTCGACTGCAACACAAGCAATCATCATCAGGTGTGAAATCTACAGCAAGAAAATTTGAAAAAAGTGGATTTCACACCTGATGATGCTTGCTTGTGTTGCAGTCGAAACTTCGTGAAAATGTTATTGTTTTATATATTTATTATTTTATTATTTCCCTTCTACGTGACTTTACCGAAAGAACCAAGAATAGGTTTGAAACTATAATAATATAGTTGTTCCCCTTTTTTCTGGCAACAAAACTGAACCCTTTTTACAAGGAATCATGTCTGCATTAACCACAATACTCGCAGTCAAAATGCAAAAAAAAACCCCACTGATAATATATGCATTGTCCTTTAAACTGATTGGTCTACACCAGAGACAGCTTTCTTTAGAGCCTCGTCTCAATTGGTTGCTAGACCAGATGATGGCAGAATAAAGGAGCAACCCCCTATTATTATACTTTGGTACTGGCAAAGGAGGTCTAATGATGTCGAGGTTTTAAACTATTTGATGGTCAACACACTTTTTCTGGCATAAGGTATTCCAACGGTTTCAATGTATGATAATTGGTTCTTTACCCTTCTATCTGGCAACAAAACTGACACCTTTTTGCAAGGAGTCATGTTTGCATAGACCGCAATACCTGCAGTCATAAATACAAACAAAAGACATAACTCTGATAATGTGCACTGTCCTTGAAGTTGATTGGTCCACACCCGAGACAGCTTTCCTTCGAGCCTAGTCTCATATGGGTTGGACCAAATGAGGTCCCCATAGTGGTTTCAATGTAATTTTGGGGTGCTGATTCCAAATCTGGCATCAGTTTTTGTCTATCACATCAGGTTTTTGAGATATCAAATATTGCATTTTCAATAAAAACTGCAGAAAAAAAATGTTAAATAAATGTGGATATCTACATAAAATTATATTATAAACACACTATCCTAAAAATACAGCACCATATTTTAACACTAAAGCAGTCACTGACTCGCAACAACTTGCAATCATAAGTGACAGAGTTAATTTCGGGTAAAATCAATGAAAATGGGGTATGCCGATAGCATAAAAATGAGATGTGATAGAGCAAATCTGAGATCACATTTGGAATCAGCACCCTGAAATTAGTCTAAAACACCTGCAAAAGTCCAGGCCAGAAAAAAGTTTTTTTTGTTGACCAGTGTTATCGATGACACGTGGAAATGCTGCAGAAAGGTTTAAGAGTCAAACTCTGCAAAGTCGACGTACATTTGCTGTTGGTCGAGTGTTCGTCTTGTAACAAGAGCAGCATTGTGGCTTTTGATTAACATTTTTTTTGCTTATTATTTTCCTTAATAATAATACAAAAACACATGCTTCTGAATAATTACCAAGCTCTTTCCTTTAATTAGTTGAAGAGAGAAAAACAATCATCAAACGCATCAAACATCGAAGCACATCGATGTATTGATGTGTTTTATCTCAAATCAATCGCATCCGTAGCCCTCTTCAATTGAAGAGCGCGCTGTCTCCGGCACATATTGACAAAGCTCCCCCCGTATAGCCTTTGACAGGCTGGTGGGGCAAGTGCTGTTAGCGAGCACCGATGAAAGCCGGCGAGCCAGCAACCACGCCCGGCTAGCTTTGTTCACACATCGCACCAGGTTCGCATGCAAGGCCGAGTTTACCGATGGGAGTCCTAGGAGCTGTTGTTCATTTGACTAGTCACCGATGTTGGCCTTGAGCGGGAATCGAACTCGGTTCACCGGCTTCAAAGCTCAGCACGCTCACCCAGTGCCGGATGAAGCTAATGCGGGGCCTGTAGCATTATGTTATAAAGGGGCTCTGAATAAAAAAAAAACTGAAATATTAAAACTCACTAATTTTTTACTTGCATAGTAAAGTAATTGTATTTTTTATTTGCTATGCAGCCAGATAATACGACAAATCGCTAACCTTAAACACCCAGTCGTTTGTAAAAGTCGAAGGCAGTATTTACTACTATGAGCCAAGAATGTCTGTGTGTCCCGCGCGTGACGTCACTCCACGTCGACCAGCCCCCCTCATTAATAATCATGAACAGGTGGGCTCCTCCTCATGGACCCCCCCCCCCGTCATTAATAATCATGAACGGGTGACGTCACTCCGCATGAAGAAGTTGGAGCGGAAACGAAAATTTGTTTACGCAAATCAGCTTTCATTTTTACCTTTCTTTATGGAAAGTAAAGCTAATAAAGAACATCAAAGCCTCAACGAATATAACGAGACAAAAAGCTGTGTGTGTGTGTGTCCCGCACGTGACGTCACTCCACATGCGCCCCCCCCCCTCATTATTATTAATGTGTTGCCTGGATTTTTAGACTAACGCAGAAGGTCGAGCGAGCGGAAATTAAAATTTATTTACGCAAATTTCCTTTCGATTTTGCGTCTCTTTATAGAAAGTGAATGCGTTTGGTCGCATTATTTAAGTTCTTCGGCGCGTCAAACAAAAGGTAAGTCACACTCGTTAGTTCTTTCGGTAAAATCACGTAGAAATAAAAT